CTGAAGGGCCTTGCCGGACTCTGAGGGTCCTTAAAGGCTAATGAGGGATCAACTGTAAGGGCCCCACACTTGTTTGCTATGCCCCAACGGCCCACACCAGTGTTTCTGTGGGCCCTCACAATGGCGCCTGGGAGGGCCCTCACCGTCACCTCTAAAAGCCCCACACCAGCGCCTCTTAACGGCCTACATCAGTGGCTCTGAAGGCCCGCTCACCGGCGCCTCCGAGGGCCCTATACCAGCGCATCTAACGGCCACTTACCAGCGACTCTGAGGGCCTCTTACCGGCATCTGAGGTTCCCTTGCCGGCCTATGAAGGGCCACTGGTAACTTTCAGGGGCCCCATACATGCCTATGACGGCCCTTACCAGCGTCTTTAAGCCCTAAGGCCCCCGCGACGGCGCCTGTGTGGACCCCATATCAGCCCATCTGACGGCCTTTCACAGACACATCTGAGGGACCAACGCCGGCGACTCTGAGGGGCTCGCTCGCTTCGCTTCTTCATAAAAGACCGTGCATTTCATGCACATTTCTCAGGCAAAATGAAATTTTTATCTGCCAATTTTCCACATTTTCTCAGGGCTTAGACAGACAGACAGACAGGCAGACAGTGAGACAGACAGACAGAGGGGACCGTCCGCAAGGGGGACCGGACCCACTGTGCCCAATCCCCCCCCCCCATCGAGATGTTCTGGATACGTCCCTGCCTGGGTTGAAAGTGGCCCCCAGGTAACCCGGGCCCCTTCGAGAGCAGGTTGCCCCCTCCTGGGCGAAATCCTGGGTACATGCATGCTTGGGTGTCCCAAGAGAAACGACCCTCAGGGCCTTATGCGGTACTGGCCCAAGCTTAAATAAAGTCATTACGTCATTAAGTCATTAAATAAAGTCAACTACGTCAAACTATCATAAATTTGCCGTTTGATGGCCCTCAGAGGCCGTCTCAGGGCCCTCAGAGGCTAGCGCTGAGGTCCTCAGAGGCCGCTTCGGCGGTCCTACAGAAGCTTAGACTTGGGCGTGGGACCCTTGACGCTGGCGTGGAACCCTAAGGAGCCTGCGCGCAGCCCTCTAAGGCCAGCCGTGGAGCCCTCTAAGGCCAGCGTGGGGCCCTCTAAGTCCATTGTGGGGCTTTCTAAGGACAGTGTGGGACCTTCTAAGGCCAGTGTGGGACCCTCATGTTCAGTGTGGGGCTGTCTATGTCCAGCTTGGGGTCTTCTAAGCCCAGCGGCGTGGGGCCTTCTGAAGTCAGTTTGAGGTCCACTGGCCGCTGAGACCAGCTTGCAGCCTTCTGAAGACGATAAGGAGCCCTCTGAGGCCAGTGTGAGGCCCTCTGTGACCAGCGTGAACCCTCTGAGGCCAGCGTGGGGCCAGCTGTCATCTGACTTCAGACGCTGATGCTGGGCCCTCAGAAGCCAGCACGGGGCCTTCATAGGCTGGCGTTGGGCCATTAGAGGCCACTTCGAGGGCCTCGGCAGCCGTACTTCAGATCTTATGCATGTTTAAGCCCCCTGAGGTAGGAGTGGCCCTTAGAAGCCGGCGCGGAACCCTCAGAGGGCAGCATGGGCTTCTAGAGACCGGCGTGGTTTCGAGAGCGACATAGGGCCATCAGACTGACTCAAAGGCTTCAAAGAGCCAGCGTGGGGCCCTGGGAGGTCAGCAATAGCATGAGCCTCCTGAGGCCATTATAGGGCCAGCTGAAGCCAGAGTCGTTTACTCTGTTGCCGAAGAGGGCTTTCAGAGGCCAGAATGAGCCTTCAGAGTTTTTAGATTGCCAATTGTGCCTAAAAAGGCTCCCTCACATGGCGAAAGTGGCAAAGAACCGCACCTGTGCGTGGGTTAAGTATGCTACCACTGGGGCCGCTAAGGTAAGGGTGGAGCCCCTAAGGTAAGGGTGGGGCCCCTTGAGCAGGCTTGGCCTCCCCCTTTTCAAGATCCTGGATACGCCACTGAAGAGAACGACCCTCCTTTTGTATAATGCCCTAATTCTTCCATATCTTAACTATTGCTGTATCGTTTGGGGAAATAATTACCATGATCAGTTAGAAAAACTCATCATATTACAAAAGAGAGCTGTCAGACTAATTGAACGAGTTTACCCACCTCAGAGCTCTGTGCCTATTTTCAAAAAAAAAAATATAACTTATTAAGGATAACTGATATAGCGAGATCTCATATGCTTCTTGTTATGCACAAATTTATTAAAGAACAACTTCCAGAAACAATTAACAACCTGTTTGATTTGAGTCCCGAAAACCATGCCGGCACGAGGCGTACCACTCACTTCAACCAGCCCTTCTCTAATCGCAACTACAGACTATTTACTATCAGATTTCTAGGTCCTAGATTGTGGAATAGCATTGTTGCACCTCTTTTCACAACTGTTAATCATATTCCATCTTCAAAACAAAAAATAAAGAAGGTGATACGCAGACACTTTGTTGATTCATACAACACTTAAGATAAATATGAACAATTAATGAACAATCAAAACAATAATAAGAATAATCAACCTCATAGCGACAAACATTATTCCTACCTATATATTGTGAATAGCTATACTGTTCGTATATCGTTAGGGGTTTGTATAAATATGTGCTATTTCCACGGTGTACTCTGCGTTGGAAATAGTACATATTACCCACTTTGGTTTGTGGGATGCATATGTGTCGTGTGTGTATGTGTGTGTGTATGTTTCGCGTACATGATACATATGCATATGCATGTATGTACGTATGTGCATGTCATGCATGTACACAACATAACGATTCGTATATACCTATTTTAAATACCAACTACAATAAATCCTTGTGTGCCACCCTTCTCAATCATTGTCTATTTCAATTTGCATATTTACCTTATGGTATCTACATGCATTACCTACATTGACATCTATACAACTTATTGTACTAATTCTTATAATACTCTAGTCCGTGCTGTTTCCTGAGGTTCTGTCTGGCAACAAGCCTAGCTTAGCCGGACGGAGCCAAGGGTTTCGGCAATAAAAATAACCTTGCAAGAACATGACCAGGCATGCTTTTCCCCATCTGAGTATGAATGCGTATTGCGTTAATTACTAACACTGGTACCGGGCTTCTCAAAAAAGTTAGACGGTTTTCTTTTGCGAATAGAGGACCCCTAACAACATTTAAGCAAAATCAATGCACGTGGAAAAACGGAGAATTTTTCGTAGATTTATATGACACCATGGTTTGAGCTTAAAAAATGAAGCCGTGTTCTTTGGAAGTAAAAGCAAAACTCGTGAAATTATGCTTTCCCAGACTAAGTCGGTCGGTTCGACACCACGGAAGGTCCGGAAACACTTTAGGGCAAAGAGAGCAACATCTTGAAACAAAATTTTCCACATTATTGACAAGTTTCTGGCTCGAGGAAGTGTTAACAATAGGTTCACGCAATTCAAGGGCGGCCATAAACCCAATCAAAGGCTCACGACGAACACCACTCGTGTGAGAGATGCGCTACTCAGACTGTCAATGGTCAGCAATATCGGGTAGCCCTGGCGACGTTTTGGAGGGTTCTACAATATCAGGGTGAGCAAAGATCCGGAAACGCTTAAGATCCTATGGTTCCAGCAAGACGGTGCCACGCCAATACCGCTAAAGAAAACCAGGAGGGGCTGTGGGAGCGCTTCGGGCAGCGCGTGATCTCGAGGTTCGAGACACGCCCGTGGTCGGCGAATTCTCCGAACGTAACCCCACCGGACTTTTTCCTATAGGACTAACTCAAGTCCCAGGTGTACCGAGACCACCCAAAAAGTTCCGAAGATCATAAAGGATGCAGTGAAGTCAGCGGTGTGCCGTCTGGCAGCTTTCTGTGGGTCGTGCTGCAGCAGAGGTCGCGCTGCGCCGGGCTAAACTGTGCATCGAGCAAAAAGGAAATCATCTCGAACATGACCTCGGCGCGGCTCAGAAAGGCGACTGCCGAGGATCGAAGTCCCCTCAAACGAAATGTCTTTGATGAGGCTTTCAGGTGATACCCAATTATGTTTTGTTACACTGATACACCCTTCAATACGTTAGTTATAAAATCATCCAACTTTTTTGAGAAGCCCGGTATAAATGATAGTTGCTTGTGTTGGTATAGTGGGCAGTCATTTTGCTTCACTTGGCAATGACTACTTTCCTCCTTTTTGGCGTACTTACTAACATTTTTTAGTAGTATTGCATGCGTTATATTTTATTTATCTTTTCCACTTCTTAGCAGGGAGTGCCGCGACTTGATCAATTTATTATGTTACCTGGTGTTAAAGTAAGGTCTCTGTGCGTCGCCGGGACTGTGGGAGGGGGCACTCCTGGTTACCTGATCATGGGTAACGGACTATCTTAGAAATTTAAAAAAATGACCTCTGGTGACATGACCTCTGGCTCTGACCCGATCTAAAATTCGCTGAAGTATTTTTTCTACTTTTTGCTACTTTTGACGCTACTTCGAATACCACTTAAATGCCCAAAGCTGAGTTATAAGAATGATGCTCAATCCCCATTTCCCCTCCAACAGGGCGTGAGAGTCTAGGCATTCCTGTCGGGCACGGGCTAACAATGACTATCTCATAATCATTGTGGCCATGAACATCTATTGCCATTCTTTAACACCGGTGTCGCTGCGCTGAGCGGTGGCCGTCCCGTTTGTTGGATTCTACAGCTGGCTGGCGGAAAGCGTTACCGGCCGCCCGTCCACCGCCCGCGGGCCGGACCGAGCGGTCCCGCTGACCCTACCTGACCTGAGCCCGGCGCGATATGGGACAGGCAGACTTCGGCTCAGCGGAGGCAGCGCCCACTGGTGCTGGGGACTTTTTTAATAGACCTACTGTACATGTCTGGACTAAGGATCTTGAGGTTTCCTCTCCGTGGCAAACTGACATCATTCTGCCACAAGCTGCGAACAAGGCGCCCACTTTAATGTAAGAAATAAAATTTGAACTTAAATGGAATGTTACTGTGACATGTGATGCTTTACTTATCACCATATGTTATCACGAATGAAAGTCATTTTTGTTTAGGGTTTCTGATTTATTTTCATCTGTCTTCAAAAGTACACACAAATACAGCGTGGAACCATGAAATGTCCGAAAATTTTAGGTATCTGTGCTGTAGCAGTTATCGCTTAGTTTCTCATCTAAACCGGAAATAATTGCTGAATGTCATCAAATCAACCAATAGCATTGAGACAAGGCCCCGCGAGCTTCAGAATGAGTGGATATTTTAGCACGCTATTACACTCGCAACATGGGAGCGCCACAGCCCGTCTGGTCACATCCATCAGCAGGCTGGTTTTCGTTCGTTTCCTCTCAGGACGGTGGCGCGTCGTGTTGGAGCTCGTCAGCGGCCAGGGAGTCAATGGAGGCCTGCAGTCGGCTCAGCAGCTCCACGTACTCGGCGGCGCGGCTGTAACAAACCACCGGCACTGGGTCAGACCAAGGCCCTAAAACAGTGGTCGGCAGGTCATTCGGGGTCGTGCCCCTTTTTTGGGCGCCAGGCAGGGCCATTACCCCCACCTACCAGACCCCATTGCTGACACAACCAAGTTTACTGAAATTCCATACCGTCCTGGAACTCTTTGGGTATTTGTGTATTTCCAATGCATCAAATTTAAAACATGACACTTCCTCCACAAAACATTTAATACCTATATCCCAGTAGCGGCGGAACACCTTCAAATAAGGGGGAGGGCGGGGGGGGGGGGGCACTGCCGACTTTTGGTCCCATTCTTTCCATGCAACGCCCATAGGGCTAATGTTAAAATGCAAAAAACAAAGGGTGCACGGTGCCCCGGTGCCCTCCTCGTTCCGCCGCCTATGCTATATCCCATTTAACCCTCGCATGTGTAGGGGGGGGGGGGTCGGATGGACCCCCCCCCATGGTTTTTCGCGAATAACTCGCGTAAAAAGCGGCCGATCGCGACGAAACTTTCAGTACCCTCGCATTGATCAATTTTACACCTACCCTGAAAATTTCATGACCATGACCCAAATGACCTTTGACCTGTGACCTCTTTTCTGAGACCATGTTTGGCCGGAATCGCGATTTCGCGTATGTCGGCTCGCACTAGCCGCGTGTTTGCAAGCTTTTCGTGGTTTCAAACGTTCAAACATGTGATTTGATGTTACTCCCGTGTGTGTCAAGGTCACCTGAAGGTCAGGTCAGGTCATTGACCTTTGGTGACCTCGGGTGACCTCGGGTCTCTTTTTCGAGTTTTACATGTTTCTAGGCTAGTTTTTGGAGCTGAATTCGAATTTAGCAACCATTTGAACATTTACGAAGTAGTTTTGGTGACTTCGTAACATGTTACGAAGCTGTCAGAGGCGGTTGACACGTACTACGAATACCCGTCACGACGCCTACTGGTTGACCTGACCTGACCTGACCCGACCTGGTCTAAATGCTTTAAGACATCATCTGTGATCAAAACTAACACGATATTCGTGATCAGCGCCCCGAAAAACCCCTTGCCAGCCACACTTTACGACTTTATAACAGGTCCCGATTTTCCCGACTTTGGGTCATTGACCTGACCTGGAAGGTCAACCAATGACCTAGGACCTTAAAATTGGGTATCATCGGCTTCCTCTCGTCACGGGCAACACGCTCGTTTTTTCCGCGAAGCTCTAGCTCGATCAGGGGCCAAACGGCAAGGGGGGGGGGTCCAACCGACCCCCCCCCCCCCCTACACATTAGAAGCTGGCAAACGCCGCACACATGCGAGGGTTAACCCTTGTACGTATAGGGGCGGCGGGTGGTTTTTCGTTAAAAGCTCACGTAAAAGGCATTGGATCACGACCAAATTGTACCCTCGAGCCCATCATTTTTTTTTACCAGCACGGAAAATATCATGACCTGAGACCAGTTTTACCAACAGAAAAATAACCGCCTGCCGGAAGTTTTGCCTAAAAACCGCTTCGGAGCGTAAGCGCGATGAGCATGTAAGTGGATAGGGCTTTACCGTTTACTTTACCGTTTACGGTATGTGAAGCGGTCTTTAGGCGAAAAATTCCGGCAGGCGGCTATTTTCTGACGTCTTATTTTCTGTCGGTAAAACTGGCCTCTGGACCCATAATGATCATTGGTTTATGAGCTTTTTCTGGAGATCATCTTGAGCCATAAAATCTCACTTCAAGAAGTTATAGCGGGTCCCAATTTTCTCGACACTTGTCTTTGACCTCCTGAATGAGACGAAATGACCAGGGACCTTAAAAATGGGCAGCAGCGGCTTCCTATAGTCACGGGTAATACGCTAGTTTTTATACAAAGCCCTATCTCAGAGTCCGAGAGGCCGCGGGGGTCCGATGGACTCCTCCCCCTTACGTTAGCGGCTGTGGACTGGAAACTGACAGACGGGTGACGGTTAAAAATTGCAGCTGCTTTTGTACGACTGTACGGAGCCGCGGTGAGATGGTGAGGCGAGCAGCTACATGAAAATTGGTATTCAATCAACGTGTGCTACACCTTTGACCTGGGCTAATCTTTGAACCCCGGGATGCAACAGTCACGATGGTTTCATCAATGGAGCCACTATCTCTAAAAAGATGGATTTCCCAGAATCCTCATTACCCCCACCGAAAGGGCTCCATTACCCCCAAAGGGGGCATGCCCCACCATTTGCCGACCCCTGCCCTAAAACATAAGGTTGGACGAAGTTTTCTACCAAAAATGTACTAGAATAGCGTACGAGTCAAAGCTATTTCCGTTGTTTCTTTACAAATATGTCGCAAACAAGCTTTTTCTGTAATGAATCATTATTTCGAAGCTAAACAACCAGTTACTATAAATTCGATAAGCAAGCACTTATTTTTTATATAAAAGCCTAGCTTATATAGTCCAACTCTAGTTGAATAATCAAGTAGCTACTAAATTTTCCAGATGTGACACATATTGCGCACTTCAGACAAATGCGTTGCTAAGGCGTTGCTAAGGACTCTTTCGCATGTTTTGCTGCGTGCTTTTTTTTTGTTATGAAGTGAGGGGAGTGAGATGGACAGGCTGTTTGATATTTTTCTGGTTTTCTAGGACCGTCGCAATTATTTAACTTGACATACTTTTCTTGCTTTTTTATCCGAGGCTTTTTCAATAATTGGTATAGATTCTATCGTGGAAATAAAAGGGCCAGCAGGCCACAGGGGTAAATGCAAGTCGACTGATAGTGAAATAAAAGGTAGAAGTGTCTGTTCCATTATAAATTTAATGTGATATGATGGAACATAAAGCAACAGGATCAGACGCAAGAACCACCAATAAAGAGCCCAGAACCAGCAAGCGTCATGCCATCAAGAGCAGCCATGATAACGTTTGATTAGCTTTCAGAAAACCTTTGAACTATACGCCAGACGGTGGTGAGCAATCAAGAGATCTTACAAGACCAGTAGTTACTTGAAAACGAGAGCCGCCAGGAAAATCAGCAGATTCTTCAATGGCAACACATTTCAACATCTATCTAGCAATGATTTGCACCAGCGAGGTGGCTATCATTGTGTTTTGTGTCTGTATCCCTAACTGCTCAAAAATATTTGTCAATAAATAAACAAACAAATAATGCGTCTTTTTCTACTGAAAGTAAGTCCTCCAAGTGGCAAGGGATGAATAATAGCAGGTACCTAATTAATTGCCATCTATTCATTCAATTCATAAATCATAGGCAATTCAGGGCATCGATCGGCAGCGCCCTTACTGCATGGCACTGCGGATCGTCCATGGGTTTCTTGATGACTCCGACTCTGACTCAGACTTTCAAAAATCAACTCTGACTTTGATTTCAAATGTCGGCTCTGACCGACTCCGACTCCACAGCCCTAGCAGGTCTGCAGAGGCAATGAATTTTTGGTGACTCCGACTCCGACTCTGGCTTTCAAAATCGACTCTGACTCTGACTCTGGTCAGAACTGTCGACTCCGACCGACTACAACTCCGACTACGGAACCCTGAAAGGTCTGCGGAGGGGATCGAATTTCGGTGACTGACTCAGACTCCAGCTTTTAAAATCGACTCTGACTCCGACTCGACGACTCAGGTCAGAACTGTCAACTCCGACCGACTTCATGACTCCGAATCCGGAGCCCTACTGGCAGCTAGCACGCCAGGGAGCTGCAAATCAAATGTTCCGTGGCGGTTTATGGCATTAAAGTCGATAATGCGGCTGAATCGCGCTATGAAACACCCTTATTGGCTGCAAGAACCACGAAAGTTAGCGCATCACCACTGGAAAACGTGACAAGATATCGATTAATTGGCCCTGGATTTGGATAAATAACATGTTGATGATCATATTAGCACACATTTACATTATCATCTATCTCAAGGTTGCCCTCCAGGCGGCTCTAAACTATGGCAATTTCCCTATCTTCAACATGTAAATGCCCTCGGGCGTCCTCGTGGTGACGTAGGCATGGGAGTGCCAGGTTGGTAGGAACTAGACTTCGACGCCCCCTGGGTCAGACGGAGGGCCGCGGCTATAACAAACCACCGGCAGTGGTCAGACGGAGGGTCGCGGCTGTAACAAACCACCGGCAGTGGGTCAGACGGAGGGCGCTGAGCACCGCCTGTCGGCCGCGCTGGTCACTCGCGGCGCGCCCGCTGTCGGCCGCTGGTCAGTAGTCAGCAGTGGTGGGCTCTTCGATAACTTCCATCGATAACGATTATCGAATTCGTTATCGACGATAACGTTTTTTCAAGTTTATCGTTATTGATTATCGTTATCGAAGTAGCGTTATAGAAGTCCGCCTTTCGGTCAATCGATAACGATAACTTCATCAAATAAGACGCCAGCTATTGAAGGGAATAAGGCAAATAAATATAATAAGAAAAAATAATGCGAAATAAAAACAAATGAACAAATCAGACGGGAGCGTTCGCCTTCAACATGGGGTTTTGAACTGAGATAGCGGTTTTGCAGACTGAGCACTGAAAATGCTATTTGGAACAGCTTTCGGCCCAACAAACTCTGTCACCGAAGATATTCAAGCTGTTCGACGAATGTTTTCCTTATTTAAGGAATGTTTTCCTTATCCGAGAATGCGAGGAATGCGGCATGCCTCCGTGCAAGTGGCCAAGGACCGCACCGCAATGCTAGCGAGTGGACCAGAAGCGATTGCGGTTACGTGATGCGTCATGTTCTTGAATGCGTATCGCTAACAGAAGATTTGAAACCGGCCATGCTGATTGGTGGAATCAGCAATCACAACAGCGAGGCTTTCCTTAAGGTCACCCGATCCCGGACACGCTGTCCCGGTCAGTGGCCAAAAAGTCGTCTCGCAGTCGTCTGGTACCGTGCAATATGTCCGGATAGGTAAAATTTCACATTAATATTATGTTTGCGGCGCGAGTTATTGGCGAAAAACAGGAGGGGTGGGCGAAATCCGCCCCCCCCTTCCACTGCGCGTGTTAAGAAAGTTGGG